TTACAGGTTTAAAGTCAGCAATGAGAATATAAGGTCAGTGTGTCTTTGTAATGCAATATGTTTTTCCATGACAAATTCTGATTTGTGAAAGAATCTACAGTTCACAGTGCATTTAAGGTGTGTTTTTTTTCTATACATCTGCTTTGAAACAACATAGACTGTGAAAAGTAACCTACAAATAAAAATGACATAATTTTTTACATACATTTTGTCAATAGTTTTGTCAATATTTCCAAAAATCTTTTGTTAAACTATATTTATGAAATATTATACTCAAGTCAATTATGCTCGCTACATTACCTCTACATTATCTACAGAGTAAAGGGCAACAATTATTCATCAGTATTGAGGTAGAAGCATTACTACTAAGCAATCTTTATCGCTTTCAAAGGTCTTTATTTCTTAATGTCAGTAAAAAAAAAAGGTTTCAGAACATAAGAAAAACAGATTAGTGTATCTCTAAATGCATTTGCGACAAACTCATCATGGGACACAGTGTTGAATTATCAGTAAAAGATACTTTGCTGAGAGAACTGTCACGCACTTATTCTGCAAGTCTCATATGTGCATTTAATTACCATGCTTTTATGGCCTTTAGCTCACTGAAAACATAGCTCACAGAGTGCTTGTGGCATTGCTGTCCTCTCAAAGAAAGAAACACAAACAACTGTGAGATAATTTGCCAAGCCCTAGGGGGGCATTATATAACTCATGGCTGACATGAGATGTCATCATTCACTTGTGGTGCAACATGGTTCTTCAAGTCGAGGGAAGTTGGCCATTTCACCTTCAGCTTTCTAGGTGCATTCTAAATTATACTAAGAACAATTGTGACTAAGGCATGAGTCAAGTCTAATCAAGCCCAGAATTATATTTAACTCTTTCACACTGCTTGTATCTTGGATAAAATATCCAGAATGATGGAACTTCCAAAATGGGAATCAAAGGATGATGGCCAAAGTTTTCGCACAGCATGAGGTGCTCACTTGCTCTAAATCCCAGTTGCAATCCTAATCCCATTTCATAATCCTATGTGTAGTCTTGCCTGCATGCATGTGAGATTTACTGTATATTTTATTGTATTTTTGAGTCTTTGCATTGTGTCCTTATTGTGGGATTGTGTCTGAAACGAGTCATGGTGGATTCAAGCATGCTTTACTTGCTGTTTGCTTTGTTGTGGTAGCAACATTAGCAACATCAATTTTTAAATCCTCTAATTGTCCTGTATTATACGCACCTGTGGTCCTTTGGTCAAAGTTGAGCCACAGTGAAAATCTTTAAAATTAATAAATTCCTTATTAAGGTATGATGTGTTTTTTTCTGGTCTCAAAATTGCAACATGTAGTACATGGATGACAATAGTAAAATATGCACCCATTGTGCGCATCCATCATAATTCACTCATTCCACCGTGCACTACTTATTCAAATTTTAATTTATGTATTTATTTTTCCAACTAGTGTATTAGAAAAGTGCTGTAGTTTATTTATTTTTTTATCACATAGTGTTTTATGAAAAAAATAATGGGGGTTCTTTTACTCAAGAAATGAGAGTTTAGTCACAATGAAATCATCATCTTAAATCAACCTAGTAAACTAATTTAGGGGTTTTGAGAAAAGTTTGAGAGGGTAAATCAAATGTCAAATATTTTAGTCAAATTTGGTTTGTAGATTTACAAAATAAAAATAAAAATAAAAAATAAAAAAAAATATTAATTAAAACATGAATTAAAATATATTACATTTACATAGTGTTTGTTTAGATAATCTCGACAATGTTCCAGTAGTCCACATATAGCTCTATACCAAAAACAATGTAATGTTTATTATTTACAGAAAACGAGTCAAAAATACCCTAAGACTTACAATCCCTTTGCAAACTGTGGTATCCAAGCATACATAGAGATGGAAAGAAAAAGGCAGAGAGACAGAGAACAAAAGGATATGTTACACTGATGCTTTGCCTGAGAGAGAGTTAGCGTGTCCCCTGCTTTGGCTATGGCAGTACAGCAAGCCAATAATGAGGAGATATATCTGGATTTAGAGATTACAGCAACACGCAAGCCTAAATCAACACAACACAGAATTTATATCACAGTTTTTGACATCTTAGTTTTTATCTATACGTTATGTTTCACCACAAGGACAAATAACGTCTCGGTTACTTGTGTAACCCTCGTTCCCTGAAGGAGGGAACGGAGACGTTACGTCAGTCGTGACTGACGAATTGGGATCTTGCTCGAGAGCCCAATCACCTTCGAGTGTTAACTAAACAAGCCAATGACAGTTGGCGTGCGTGTTTCGCCACGCGCACCCCGCCCCGCAGCGCGGGTATAAAAGGAGAGCGCGTGCAAACGCACATCAGTTTTTCGCTGAAGAGCCGAGACTTGCGTGCCCCGGCCGTACAGCGGTGGTACAGCAACTGTGGCGACGGGACGTAACGTCTCCGTTCCCTCCTTCAGGGAAGTGGTACATTGGATAACACTGGGAAAGCGTACCCAGTTGGGGACGCTACGGAAGCCACATCCTGCGCATAGGAGGTATCATGTGGAAGTACACATATGGACTGGCCCAGGGCAGTGCTACATATGGAAGTCCCTGCGGTAGACTCAACCCGCCTGGGGTGAGATGACTACACAGCAGAGATGGCAGAGAACGACTGCCAGGGAAAGACACGGGCTTACCATGAGGGGAGCCGTACCGTGGAAGAGTACACATGTGGGATCACCCGAAGGGGGAATCACTACACACGGGCACCTAGCCCAGTACAAGGGCTGACCTTGGGCATGCACAAGAGTGCTGAACCTGGCGTCTGGCGCTCCGCCACGCCTGACCGCCGAGGGTGCGGGAGGAACTCCACCAGGGTTCGCCATGGGGAACTGAACTGAGGAGCAAAAAAGCGCACGTATCCGGTCCGTAGAGGGGAATGGAGCAGCAAGCGTGATCGACACCGAGCAGGTCCGGTGTTACTGCCTACCTGAGGCGAGTACACGAGAGGACACAGGCTCTACACGGAGATGATAAAATCTTGCAAATGTGTTAGGTGTCACCCAGCCTGCAGCAATACAGATGTCTGCCATCGAGGCGCAAAGTGCCAAAGCCCAAGAAGATGCCACACCCCTCTTGGAGTGAGCCCTCACCCCCAGGGGGCATGTCAGGTGTTGGGCCTGGTAGGCCAAGACTATTGCCTCCACTATCCAGTGGGTGATTCTTTGTTTGGAGACAGCCTTTCCCTTCTGCTGTCCTCCGAAGCAGACAAAGAGCTGGTCTGAGGTCCTGAAGCTCCGCGTACGGTCCACGTAAATGCACAGAGCGCGAACGGGACAGAGCAGAGCGATGGCTGGGTCTGCCTCCTCCCGGGGCAGCGCTTGCAAGTTCACCACCTGATCCCTAAAAGGCGTGGTGGGAACTTTGGGCACATATCCAGGCCGGGGTCTCAGGACAACGTGAGAGTTACCCGTTGACTCATCCACGAGCGCTGCTTCAACGTGCTGAAAGCCCAAGCACGAGAGACAGCGCTCGTGACCGTCAGATGAAGCCAGGAAATGACCACATCCAGAAACGCACGAGCGGGAAGCCATCTTTAAAAAGACGCCCGTCGCTCGTGGAGCTCTTTTAGATATTTGCTCTTTTAGGATTAGAAACACTCTTTTAGAGAGAGCGCTGAAGCGCCCAGGGGAGGTCGCGGCGCGACCGCAGAATGGAAGCTGCAGCACACCGAAGAGGAGCAGCACTGAATGGCAATCCCCGCTGACGAGCCGTGACACCAACGCTAGGCTGTTTCTCTTGTAAACACTCGCGTAGATTCGTCTTAGTAGAAGGCTCGGCTCCAAAGCGAAAAGCTGATGTGCGTTTGCACGCGCTCTCCTTTTATACCCGCGCTGCGCAACTGTCATTGGCTTGTTTAGTTAACACTCGAAGGTGACTGGGCTCTCGAGCGAGATCCCAATTCGTCAGTCACGACTGACGTAACGGCAAAAGTGACTGACTGAAAGGGAACATTTAGTTCCAGAGACTGGACTCAAAATTACTTCAGATGATGCCAGCTTTCCCCTGCTCAGGCTCACAATCTTGGAAATGTAGAATTTAGGAAATGAAGAAGATTCCAGGCAACAGAATGACAGACTTCAAACTGAAGGGGTTTTCCAGACATGTGTTAATTAATGTTGATGCTGGTCTCTTGAGTGAGGCGCACTAATCCATCATACTTGTTTATTACTGTTTGAGTGACACTGCGAATTACTGTCATCCTGATTTCAAACAAGCAACAGCATATTAACAGCATCCTTGTGGGTTTTGTGTGTGTATGATGAGAGATCATTAAATCTAAACGAAGACATCTAAACAAACACATCATTACAGAGGTCAGGAAATGGTGGACATTTTCCTGAAAGATACGAGAGATTCTCACTGCTGTTCTGCTCTGAGCTGAACCCTGTCATCCATAATTTACACTCTTCTCTCTCCCCTTCCCTTCTTGCCCTCCCCACTTGTCTATCTGTCTATTCTGAGCCTGGAGAAAACCGGAACAAGACAGGGGAACACAGTGTACCATGCAAGCACAACGCACACACACGCTTGTTTTTCTATGATGCTGGGGACTTTCCATTGACTTCTATTGTTTTTAGAATGAGATAATGGTACTTTTATCCCATACTCTTAAACCCAACCTTCAAACAAAGTATGTTTTATTACATATTATGTTTTATTATTAAACCATGTTCGTCATTAGTTCCCACAATGTGGGTGATTTCAGGTTTTACTATCCCAAATGTTCACACAAGGCCGACAAATCCTTATCCACCCACACACATCACTATACTTATCCCTCACTTTCATTCATCCATGCATGTTCTCTCTCTCTCTTTCTCTTCCTTGATGATTTTTAGTGATGTTGCTTGGCAACAGATCTAAACAAACCATCATAATGCTGTAAATACATGCATGTGCTTTTATGAACACTGTGAAGACATGTGCATTCCTACCAGGACTCATTTAACTTACAACAATGACAAACCATGGTTCACTGCAAAACTCAGACAGCTCCTTCAGGCCAAAGAAGATGCTCACAGGAAGGGGAATAATGTCTTGTATAAACTTCTGATTCTGATTCTGATTCTGAATGTATTAAAAGATTTAAAGGTGGTCATAAGAAAGAGAAAACACATCAGCAGATGCCTGTTATGTTATCATGACACTGTTTAGACCTTTTAGAAACACGTGAAGGTGCTCTGAGGACTGGTGTTTTTCACGATGCTCCATCCCCGCCTCCCAGGCACAAGCAGACACAGGAGGCTTGAAAACATGTTTACCATCACCATTAATAAAACACTGAATTAAGGTCTGCCTGCAATGAATAAACTCTGAACTCTGAACTGTCTGTACCTGTCATGGCACACATGACTGGATCTTGTGCTGGTTGTCAATGCGAGCACGTCAAGTTGTGCCACAATCCTCTGTGAGCAAATATTAACCTGAATGAAGTGTAATGGAAATAAACGACAGCTCATCTGGGATGTTTACAGAACACAAACTTCATTAAAGGATTTTTGCTAATGCATGTGAGCAAGATGCATAAAAACTAGCAGATGACACTGAGATCGAACTGGTATGATGTATATTTTTCAATTTTGGATTGATAGCACATGTGGGCTTACGAGTTGAGTTTCCTGAACTTGTTTTCAGGATACAGATTACCTACTTACTTTAGTTCATGCATTGTCAGGAGACAGTAGCTCTTAATTAACGAATAAGATTTGGCTATTGTCTGTGTTGTGATATTGCTCTTAAAATAGAAATCTTAGGACTTTCTTTAATTTTAACAGATGGCTGGATAGAAATGGGGTAACTGTTTATGTGAGGAAAGAGAGATATCATGAGTAGCTTCCTGCTTAAGCTTGTCTGTTCTCAAAACGACATAGACATGGGCCTGTCCAAATATGCATAAAGATGAGAAGAGACACAGTAGATATAAGATCCTACATAAAAAATTTGACCATTGGAAAATCCACTGTTTAGTTTTCGCAAATTTCTGCTAAAAGTAAAATGATGTCACATTGTGAGTGCTATGACACAGCAGATGTACAATGTCAAAGCCAAATTAAAGAAGCACATTTTTGGAACCAAGATAAGAAACTTGGTATCAGAAATGCAGATGGCACACCTTGAAAAACTAATAAAAATATTGTATTTAGGTCTGATTATTTGAAAGTTGTAAGATTCATTTTAATTGAAAATGTGCAGCCTCACCTCCTGAATGGAATCTCTGCCTCTGAATTTGTTTAACACGAGCATCTGACCCTAATTTGGGGGCAATCTGATTAAAGCTGTAGGAATGAGTTTGGAAAAAAGTAAAAGGGCAGAAAATTCAAAACAGGCTAAATTGAAATGATAAGGTACATTGAACTCAGCATAGGAATTTATCTACATCATGATTGCAGTGTGATACCACTTTTATACATTTGGAAAAAAAAAAAAAAAAACCACAAACAAAAAAACAAGAAAGTCATGTTATTTAACTTACATTTAAGACAATATTGCCTATTACTTTGTTTAGTTTCGCTCCATGAATGGGAGTAAACATTTTTCTCAGAACAACTAGTCTGAACGAAGGCACAGACAATTTTGCAAATGAACAAAGCACTGCCCACAAATAAGTTGCTTTCTATTGGTCAATGTGGGTAAGTTCAACAATCTTGAACCCAACAAATCAGTCTTGGTAAATGCTTTGGTAAATGCTTTGCCTTGGGAAGTCCATTAGTGAAATTCCATGGACAAAAAAAAGACAATACTGCAAGTTAAGCATACAAGAAGCCACATATGTGTTCCAGATTCAAACATCACAGAGGTTCCTGCCAAACTAAGCAACTGCGTATTTGTGAATGTTGTGAATTTGCATGTCAGAGTTCATTAAACATGAACTTGACACAAACAACTGCATGGGAAAATTCTTGAATGCGTATCATATTGAATCTTTTCTTTAGCACTTTCTTCAGGACTATAGCACTCTAATGCTGCTCATCAAATCAAATTTAAGGAATGGAACTAAATATATGTTTAATTACAGGGAATATTTGGAGTAAGTTGTTGCTGTGACAAGATTTTTTGATTAATACAGGAATATACCCACTGGTTTAGTCAGATTTATACTAAATATTATAATATTAGTGGACTATAGAAATATAGGAATATTCTTTTTAATGTAAACACAGTGAAAAAATTCAAAGTAAAAATGACATGTATAATACTGTATATGCATTGGTTCAGAGAACATAACTTACATGAACATGCCTTATCAGTGACAACAAGACACATAAACTAAGATTATCTTCAGATTACTTTTTGGTACAAATAACACAAATAAACAAAAACAGTTATAATTGTCGCTACACCCCTGCTTATGTACATTGATGTACACATTCCGTATGTGCATGAGCCTGAGTGACTTCACGGGAGAAACAGTGCCATCTTGTCAAGTTCACGGGTCAGGTAAGTGCCACTAAATAAATGTTCTTTTTTTTTTATACTAAATTTAACGAGAAAATCATGCAACATATTCGATTTTTTTGAGTGGATATTTAGAAAGTGTTTTATGAGTTGTATATCCGAAGAAAAGTGGATATTTAAGTGTATGTCAAGTTCAGGCGTCAGGTAACGTTACGTTAAGTCAAGTGGCACTGAATAAATATTTGTACTTAGACTGAATTTATCAAAACATATATTATGAGAATCCCTGGATAAAGGCAATCCCAGCCACCCATCTGTTTATCTGACAGGTTTATATCCGAGAAAGTATTTGCCACACAAACCAGTCTATGGCTGCTAATGATATGTTATGTACTAAGTACTTTTTGTGCTGCAAAAGTTTTTTGAAAACGCTCCCCCAAGTGGATAAGCTTGAAAAAAAGGCCTTCCCGTTGTAATATGGACTGTGAAAACAGAAGTTTTAGAAAAGGATGATGCATGTTTATTCATGTAAACCCAAAACAATCAAGATGGCAGCCCATGTTTTACCAGCATTGTTGTGCCTTCTTTCCACTTTCATAGTCTTGTTGAAGATAATAATGTTCATGTAAATTCATTCCCAAATGCTATCCTGACTAGGTTTCATTAAAATCAACCTGTACAGTGCACAGAATGAGATTTTTTATTTTACTTTTTTTTTTTCATTCAACTTTCAACTATCAATACTTTCTTTATTCAAGAATTGTCATTGTTGTTTTGGTTAAAAGACAGTTTTATATAGTCATTAACTGAAAGTATTGTGGCTTGCACTATGACTTGAAAAGATCTCTTTGAGGAACTGTAACACAAGACAACATATTGAAGGGGTCATTCAAGTTCCTGCTGAGGTCAGAAAGTCAAAACAGATGTAAGTCATATGACACAAAGACTAAAGGAAATGAAAATCAAATCCCTCAAAATGACCATCATCTCTTTGATTTCCTGTCTGCTTAGAGCCTGAACCTGAGGGGATAAAAGGTAAAAGAATTAAAAATTAAGTCAAGTCAAGTATATTTCTATAGCTCTTTTCACAATACACATTGTTTTTAAAGCAGCTTTAAAGTTATACTGTTCTGTCTACAATGCCTTAAAGGTCCCATGACATGCTGCTTTTTGGATGCTTTTATATAGGCCTAAGTGGTCCCTAGTACTGCATCTGGTTGAAATGTACACACCCTCAGGCCATGATGTAGATGAGTTTGTTTCTTCATAGGAACAGATTTGGAGAAATGTAGCATTACAACACTTGCTCCCAACGGATCCTCAGCAGTGAAAACAGTGAAACAACCGTATTAAATACATATAATAAATTAAAAGAAGCTTAAAAAAAAATAGTATTTTCTCTTGACACCATAATGTTGAATACTGATGTGCAGAACACATACTGGCAAGCTTTACTGACTGCAGAAATTATTGAATGTTTTACACATTTTTGTGGCTTTTTTTTTTCATTAGTACATACATACCAGAAAATATGGGTATTTTAAAAATAAGTTTCCTTAATAAACAAAAATTAAACATTGACTAAAAGGTTTTTAGAATTTTGAAAATTCTACTTTTATATTATAGCTTATTTAGCTCTTGTTTATGGTGATATTACGGTATACGTAATACGATCTTATATTAATCATTATCAAGTAACATTTTGGCTTATGTTTAAAATATATATTGATTATGTATGGATATACTAAACAAATGGGAAGCCGGCTTTACTCGATCAGATTATTTGCGTTCTACTCAACAAAATTGTGTTTCTCTTCTAAACTTGATTTCTTTCCTTTTAATTAATGTAATTATGTGTAATCTACAAAATTTAATTATGTAGGTCAAATGTGAACTAATTTAGTACTGTTAAATGTTAAATAGAAACTTTGACACTGTGACGTTGACACTATGGGAATGCATTTTCTTGAGCTGGTGTCTAATGCTTGTGTGCAAACACACATTCTCGATTTTCTGGCATGAATTGTCGTTGCTGGTGATGTTGCATGGCCATGCTGTATGCATGACCAAGATTATAAATAGATGCTTGAAAGCATGCCATCAGCTTCTTTGTCTTCATGAAACTGTTTGTTTGTTCAGTGCATGTGAAGGGTGGGTGAAAAAGAAAGAAAATATGGCCCTAGAGTGGGCTGATTGAGTTCATTACGAATATTTTCCAATCCGCAATCAAAGTACAACCTCCCTGCCATAATCTCCCATTCTTGCCTGGTCTTAAGATCTTGGAAGAATGCTGAGCCTTAAAGGGCACATGCCAAAGGTGGAATAGATGCATGCGAGCTAAACATACCAACATCAGGTGCTTCCTTTTGGCCAAGCCTTGTCACCTCGCACCTTCGCAAAGTACAGCCCTGGCTCCTCCGCAACTCCAAGGTATCCATAAATTACTGAATTACTGAAATACACTGACGAATGGCTGAACTACCCAGGTCCAAAAATCTGGTGGTTCAATATCAAGATGTTCTCGCTCACATGAGGTGCCTAGGTTTAAAATTAAACCTTAAAAAGTGTGTGTGGGATTTGAACATTGTGCAGCCACAACTTCTCCTGCACATGTGAGTTCGATCCTCTGCTATGAGCAGCATCACATTAGG